CTCTACCGGTGCTGATGCGCCCGCAGGATTGGCGAAGATAAAACAAACGGAACCGCTTTCACAAACATCAACTGCTATTCGTCTACGAACCTTGTCGAATGGTCTTATGAAGGCGCTCTAATCTCGCGGACTGCATCTGGCGACACAGGGCCCGATCGTGTTATTGAGAGACCAAAAGTTATGCACAACAAGCGAACGGGTAAGTATGTCCTGTGGGCTCACATTGACAGCGCCGACTATGGTGAGGCGAAGATTGGGGTCGCAATAGGCGACAGCGTTTGCGGAAAGTATTCGTATCTACGCAGCGAGCGACCACTGGGCTTCGAGAGTAGAGATTCTGGCGTGTTTGTCGATGACGACGGCAAGGGCTATCTACTGACCGAAGACGTATGACTGCCTCGTAGCACAGTAGGGACCTGTTTCTGACGAAGCCAGCGCCGCAACGGCCTACGCATCAACGCACTGTCTGATGATTATCTCAGCGTTTCCAGCAATGTCTACGTCTGGAAAGAAAAATACGAGTCTCCGGCCATGATCAAACACAAAGGCGTTTACTTCATGTTCGCCTCGCAGCTTACGGGGTGGAGCCCGAATGACAACTACTACAGCACGTCGACGTCTCTCTCGGGTCCATGGTCGTCGTGGCAAAAGTTCGCCGACTCTGGGTCCAACACGTACGCTTCTCAAACAAGCTTTGTACTGTCTGTGGGGGATGGGTACGTGTACATGGGGGACCGATGGCACAGTGAAAATCTGATGAGAAGCACATACGTATGGTTACCGGTTGAGATATCTGGAACGACGGCTAGCATGAAGAACGCTGTCAACTGGATCCTGGACCCCGGTACTGGAGCCAGCAGGGCCGGGCCCAAAGAAAACATGTACGAAGGCGAGACGGCAGAGCTTGCTAACGGAGCCACATCTCAAGCATGCTCCTCGTGCTCGGGCTCGAAGGCCATTGGGTACATTGGCGGCGTGCCCTCGGGGTCCGCCACGTTTTCCAAGGTGGAATCTTCAGCAACGACGCGCACGACTGTAAGGATCAAGCATCTCAACGGCGACAAGCAGCAAAGGTATGCAGCCATCAGTGTGAATGGGAAATCGCAGAGGGCGGCGTTCTTGCCAGACGGGGGAGGAGGCCCGGCAAGTTCAGTGGTGCACGTCAACGTGGAGCAGGGCGTCAACGAAGTCAAGGTTGGCGGGGTGGATGAGGGCTGGGGGCCGGACATTGACAGGGTGTTTGTTCCCGTGGAGTGAGGATGGGCTGATAGACTAGCAATGTATGGTGTTCAGTCCATCGACTTGCTCATGATGGCGTATTCGGCGGGGATGACCCTGTTTCTCGTGATCCTGTCGTCGGGGCTGCACTCGTCCCTGGTGTAGCCCAGGCTGTGGTACATGCTCTTTGCGCGCGTGTTTGCGGTGAAGACGGTCAGCATCGTCTTTGGAATGTGACATGCGCGCGCCACGCTCTCGACGAACTGGACGAGGCGGGACCCGAGGCCCTGTCCTCGCAGGCGCTCGTGGAGATGGATCTCGTAGATGTAGAGGACAGGGCGGTCGTGGTGCGGGGGGTCGTCGTGGGTGAACATGAAGGAGGTGAAGCCGAGGATGGCGTCGGGGCCGCCCTGGGCCGGGCGCAGCAGCAGATACATCATGTCGGCGTCGAGCATCTCGTCGCGCTTCCTGCGCGGGTCCCAGCCCATGGCCGAAGCCGCGTAGTCGTGGCCCGACGTGGCGTGGACGAGGCCGAGGCAGGCGTCGAGCTCGCCCGGGCGGAGGTCGAGAGCAGAGGGGACCCAGTGGAACGCGACGGGGCAGGGTCGCTGGGGCGCCTCGTAGGCACTGAGGGCGGCGTCCTGGCGCAGCAGCGTCTGCACCGTCTGCATGCGCGCGAGGGCCTGGGGCGAGTGCATGGTGGTGTGGTGAGGTGACGATTCCGCCGCCGCCCGCCAACCGCCCACCGCCCACCGCCCACCGCCAACCTTGGGCACTGGGACGCGCCCTCGACACATCGCACCGCCATGCTGCGCGCCTACGCGACCGTCGCCTCCAAGCCGCCCTCCCGCCTGCGCGCACGAGGAAAATCCCCCGTGGGCCTGGACCACGTACCTGTCCCACGACGCATCCGGCCCGGCGCCACGCCCGCTGACGGTCCTGCAGTTCATCCAGCGCCAGCGCGCCCTGGCCCTGTGGCGAGACATTGTCCGCAGCACCGCCAGCATCCCCGACGCAGGCGCACGACGAGACATGCGCCGCTTTGCACGCTCCGAGTTCGACCAACACCGCTCCGTCGCTGACCTGGGCCACATTCGATATCTGATTTCAGTCCGCCGCCCCAGAACCCCCGCAGCGTGCCCTGGCCCTTTGCTAACGCCTGCCCAGCATGGAAAGACACAGTTCCAGACCATCAAGGCCACCCTCATCAACGCTGGCCTACTCGCCGAATAGCCTCTGTTCAGACACTGCTGCCCCGAATTCCCAACCCCGTCCTGGCCATGGATGCCCCGGTCGAGCAACAGGCCGTCTGCGTCGTCGGCGCTGGGCCCGCAGGTCTGGCGGCTGCACACATCTGCAGACAGCACGGCTTCGCAGTCACCGTCTACGAGGCCGCAGACCGTGTAGGCGGCATGTGGAGACATGACCGCGGGGAATTTGGCGACAAGTGCAGTCCGGAGATGCGCACCAACCTGAGCAGATACACTGTTGCCTTTTCTGATCTGGCTTGGACATCGGTACATGTAGATATCTCGAACCCTGCTGCCGATCCACTAGCTGTTCCGCCTGTGTTTCCCAAAGCGTGGCAGGTAGAATCCGTGTACAGCATGCTGTGAGACAGTTACTGACTTCGTACATGCATCTTTAGGCACGTGGGCCGCTATCTTGCGGCCTATTCAGAAACCCTTGGCTTAACTGACGACATACTCCTCGAGCACCGAGTTGTCAGCGCATCACTGCAAGAAGATCATACTTGGAGAGTGGTCAGTGCCGACGGCACCCGTCAGCTAACATGCCGTACCTTTGATCGACTCGTCGTCGCCAGCGGCTTCTTTAACAAGCCAGCCCACACCTTCAATCCCGTTCCCTCCCACCCTCTCTCAAACATCCAACACTCCTCACGATTTCGGACTCTCTCTGCCCTGACGGAAACCCCCGGCAAGATAGTCGTGATTGGAGGCGGCATCAGCGGCTCAGAGGCTGCTTCTCAGGCTGCTTCTCAGATCTCCAACGCAAAGCACTCGCCTGGTGGAATGACATCCTCCCACGCCGACAGCAGGGTTTTCCACGTCATCAATCGTCCCTTCTACTGCCTGCCCCGCTACCTTCCACAAGACCCTCAGACCCACGACGGGCATTTCAAGCCAGCACCCAGATTCCTTCCCCTTGATCTGATTCTCTACAACCTGTCCCGTCGCGGCCATGGTGACATCTCTGCAGCTATCAACACCGTTCCACCAGAAAAAGCAAAGAAAGGCCACGACTTCTTACGATCAAGTATAGGCTGCCATCACGCCGACGTCGGCTTCTCAGAGCTCGCGTACACGGCGACCCAGACACAACACCCTGGCTACACCGGTATAACCGACACGTATATGGAGTTTGTCAGAAGTGGCATTATTGTGCCAGTCCGGGGATGGGTTGAACACGTCGAGCAGGCAGCCAACGGTGATTGCCTAGAGATTAGTCTTGGCCAATATGAGCCCTGGTTCCATGGGCCAGGCGCAAAAGCTATGGTACTCCGCTTACTCGAGAGCCTAGGCGCATCGAAAAGACTGACACTTTACAGGGCGAGAGCAGACTGAGTGATGTGGTCGGTATCATTGAAGCCACAGGCTACAAAGCCGACCTCGATTGGCTCGACGCCCGTGTCCAATCCCTTCTCGCTGACGGCAGCGACAACCCGAATCCGCGCATACCATATCTCCTGTCACGTGGTTCCGTCTTTTCGCAGCAAATACCTACAATTGGGTTCGTGGGTTTCTACGAAGGCCCTTACTGGGGCGTGATGGAAATGCAGGCTCGACTTCTGGCGCAACGCTGGGCCAAACGAGAGCCTGAGCAGTCGGCGACTCTCTCATCCGCCTTGTACACGTATGATGATACGAGGCATATGCAAAATGCCATGGGTCAGAGGTCCTTGCAAGTGCCGCAGTTCTGGATGGCCGACTACGTTGGACTAATGGAAGAGTTCGCACGAGAAACGGGCGTCTCACGTGACGACACCCTATTCGGTAGCCAATCGGGTCCCGCATTCCCATCGCGCTATCGACACAGAGATAGCAGTCTGCAAGCCAAGGCAGTAGTCAGCGAAGTTGCCGGAATACTCGAGGCATCCCAGGAGCATGCTCGGTTTGTTGCAGCGGCCGTGTTCACAGGCATGCAAGGTGTCTGGAAGATGACGCGCAAGATTGATTCACGCACCCAGACACCCGGTGGCACATTCGTGGGTACAGCTCACTTCCATCCGCGTCAATCTACCGATGCAGCGACCTACGCCTCCGAATACTTGTATATCGAACAAGGGACATTCACCATGGACGCTGGGCTGTCATTCCCTGCGACCCGTCGTTACGTCTATCGGTACAACGAAACAAGCGATGAGATCACCGCATGGTTTGTTGAAGACGACGAAAAAAGCGTCGGAAAGCTATTCAATACCTGGCGCTTCCACGCGCCTGATGACCAGGCTGGCGGCTGGATGGCTACGGGCTGCCATTGGTGCGATCCCGACACGTATCAAAATGACTGCGAATTCAAGTTTCGTGGTGCAAAGATCGATCGGTTCATGATCAGATACAAGGTGGACGGACCAAAGAAAGATTATCTGCATGAGAGCTGGTATCAGAGACCAAAGGTAGATGGCGGAGCAAACGCATGCGGATGAGGGCGTTGTAAAGACAGCGCAACGTTTGCAAAGGGCTATTCCATTGCGAATATATTGGGTGGGGTATCATATATAAATCGTCATATCGTACAGTTACACCTGGTCTTCAGGCCGGTCATGTGTTTAGTTGCTCAACACCTCCATCAGCGAGCGTACTGGGATGGGTAGGTGGCCCATCTCTCCCTATGCTCTCAAGGTCGGCCAGCAGCATCCTGAGATGATTCTCTCGGTTCTGGTTACTGCCCCAGGTGACCGCTTGCGAGTAGTACAGTATGTCCCACGCCTCGTCACCAATGTTTTGTAGGAACGTGGGCAACGATCGCGCTTTCTGGTACGAGCGCCAGAGTATTCGGCGGATGTCATCGTTTGCGCCGATATAGGCAAGCTCAATGGCTTTATTGAACGATTTCAGGGCGGGCGCAATGTTGAACGGTGGGGGGAGGTCGACGCGGAGGCGTTGGAGAGCGGCAACGTGCTCTGGGTCTTGGAGGGCAGCAGCCATACGCTCGCTGAGCGGCGCAGTGCGGCTGTCCGCGAGTTGGTAGGGGTCAGGCGCAGTTTCGTGGGCGATAGAAGTCAGATCGCCTTGCTGTTGCTTGTTCTCAGAAATGAGCTTTTGTATGTACATTAGCTTCTCCATCAGCTTCGGGTCTTTCATGATCTCGTCAACCTTGGCCTGGAGCTCAGCGGGAACATCTTCTTCGTCCTCCACAAGCTCTCCGGGCTGCGATGCTTTGGACTGGGCGAGCTTCTTCAGCTCTTCGGCCAATTCTTGGGGGTCCATTTCACGCTCGAACACACCCTCTTCATCTTGACCCAATGTGGAGTCTTCGCTGATCGCTGCGTCGAGTTCGGCTTCGAGCCCGGTGTCGCCACCCAACGACTTCATGACATCCCGCATCTGGTGCAGGAGCTTGTCCACGTCCTGCATGTCTTCGGGTGTCGCCATAGTCAGGTCCTCGTCTGGAGTCTCTGCTTGAGCAATGGCGTCTTCGGTCTCTCTCTGATAAGTCTGCCACTCGCGCTCCAATTCGGAGTCGGGGCGTTTACGCATAGCGGCGACCTTGTTCTGCATAGCTTCGTTGCCCTCAAGCTTGTGCATTGCCTTGTTCAGCATAGCCTGGAACACGGGATTGTCTATGTTTTCCACCTCAGGCATGTGGTCGATGCACGCTTGCAGGTCGGCCTTTGCGTCTCCGATGTCCGGGTCCTCGAGGACGTCTTGTAGTATTTCAAGTGTCGCCATCCGTAAGCCGGCGTTGAACTGCTTGCTCTCTGCCTCTGCCTTGGCAGCGCCCTGTTGTTTCAGTTGCTGGAGCTCCTCCCTCGACTTGATGCCTTTTTTGATGAGCTGGAGCTCATCCGTCAGTTCGGCGAAGTTTGGATTTGTCAGGAGGCTGTCGATGAGCCGCCGGTTCAAAGTTGCGTCGTCATGGTCGGGGTTCTTCCGAGACTCTTCTATCATCAGGTACATGTCTCTGTCCTTCTTGCGGTCTTCGGGCGTGGCTATGCGCTCAATCAGGCGCTGCGGCGTGCCTTTGTCCAAGTCCTGCTCGTACCAGTTGATGACGGGCAGATCGTCGCGTTCGAGTTCGGCATCGGACAGCGGACGCATTGCCTGGTCCATTTTCGCGTCATCCTCGAAGATGGAGCGTGAGCCTCTGAGCCGGCCTAGGAGCGAGGGCTTGGATTTCGTCGTTGCATCGTGCTCCGACCCATCGGGATAGCTGGCTTTGGTGCGTTTTCCGCGTCGGAGCAGCACTGGTGGGGGGCGAGCAAAAGGACATGGTGTAGCGCGAGCTCCCAGGAAAGCGCTTGAGCGTGTACACGCGCGCGAGAGCATCGTGGCGAGCTTGGTTGAGGAGCGAGAGTGCCAAGTCGCTGTCTCAAACTTGTGACGTTGTCTTGGCACCTCCGAGAACCCCGCAATTGCTTGTCACGCCTTAACAAGAGAGCTACCCAGGCGCGCTGCGATCATCAAGGTGGACTATCCTAATGCGGTAAGGCGGCAGCTGCCCGCAGTCCCCATCATTGCGAAAGCTGTATTGATCCCTTGTCCCTGTCCTGCCACCAGAAACGTCTCTCTCCGGCACATGATGAAGACGATGAGGACCAAATGGTTGCGCCACAAACAGCTCCGCGTCAGTGGGTTAGCGTCACACGTACATAACATACACCCAACGCGTCGTTACTGAGTCAATCTAGCCAGCTAATCCAATGCAGTCACAAAAGACACACGGTGCATTTCTCGAGTTACCAGGCGAGATACGAAATATGATCTACGCCATGGCCATCTACCCAGAGCTTTCTTCGCTCGTGATCGCAAATTGCACTAAGCCGGAGCATCTCGCCGCATCTGTGCTGCATCTTTCTGCCTTCCGCGTCTGTCGCCAGATACGGGTCGAATGTCTCTCCTACATTTGCGCCAATTTCTCCCTCAAGTTCCTTGGCCTGCAGACTGCGGATCTCTTCTTTTGGTGTGCGGGACCAGCCATCTCCGAGATCAAGGCTTTTGTTCTTGTGCAGCCCTGCATTGCTCCGAAAAGCAAACAAAGCGGAGATAGGAGTGAGCGCTTCCTGGCTGCGCTAGATAAGATGGACCAGTTGACCGAAGTTGTTTTGGAGGAAACCGCGAAGGTTCTGGCGTTGGAAAAGAATGAAGAGCACAACGAGTTCACAAGAAGGGTCGAGGCTTTGAGCAAAAGAGGCGTGAAAGTCCAAGTCAGCGTGGGGAACAGATATATCATGTAGAAGGAGTGGATTTGCGACGTCTCTTTCGTGGAGAGGCTGCTAGAGAGAATAGTGCGGGCGCACACGTCTTGGAGGTGCCGTGTCCTTACCCGCCATTTCCAACAGCCTTCGGCTTCTCTTTCACACGAGGTCGCATCTATAGCACCTCATTCGCGTGTATGCTGGGCTCACGAAGCATCACTGTACTGGTATCTGTCCCCTCCAAGCCATATTTTGACAAGTCCCACGTGACCACTGTAGCATTGAGAGCATAGAGTTAGCGTGTGCCATACACGCAGAAGTAGTAGCACATGTATGCTTTCAGGCTCAAGACTTACCTTCTTTAGCTTGAAATCCCATTCTCCCGTACAAAGGCTTGCCCATCGGGGACGACTCCAAGAAGGCAGGTAGTCTCGCGCGGTCCGCTTGCTTGGTACCCCACTCAAGTAACATAGATCCTGCACCTCGGCGGTGGTGATCTGGGTGCGTTACGAGGATATGTAAAACTGCTGTCCGTCAGCAACACCTTCCGACGTAGCGCGCTGGATACTAGCAGTAAAAGGGCTTCGTTCCCATGTACTCCCTTCTTACTCGACTCAGGAATACCATGAAGTCTAGCAAGCCCTGTCTTCCCTTGGCTTCATCATCTGGCACTGGATACATCTTGCTGGCTTCTCCCTCACTGCGCTCCCGCTCGTTGATGCGCCATTTGGCGCCTGCGATCATCTTGCCATGGGCGTCGGTATCGATGACTTTGAGATACACAACGTCAGGCTCGTCGCGCCAAGACTTGACGTGCTTTTCGATAGACTTTTGGATGTACTCGTCGGTGATGGGGTTAGGCGTGAGCAGGGAAGTGATACCACCGCCGTTGGCAAAGGCGGCGATCTGTATGGCGACGAAGGTTTCGAAGTCGGCTGCCGAGGTTATGCGGTGGACCTGAAGAGGCATGTTGCCTGTGTGTTACCAACACTTGGACTCGAGGCTGCGTCGTAGACAATTATACAAATGGACCACCACAGACGGGGATATTGCACAGTCGCTAGCACCTTCCTCTTAGGGCGAAGGCGGGGTGGTCTACGGCCAACGCGCAACACCAAAGAGGCACTGCCGCCCTTTATTTCGCCTTGCTACCAGCGTTCAGCCTTTTTCAACATGTCTAAAATGGAGACATGTTGCACGGGCCTGATCAGCGCAGACTCACAGCGGTGGCCAAGGATGTTGGGCCATGATCTGTCGGCCCACAGCTACTTCGACATCGCCCTTTCCCGAGTCCTTGGCCGCCTGGCTGACTGCAAGACTCCACCAAGCTTTTGCGGACCGCGGCATCTTCGCGACGATATATGCGCACCATGTTGTTTCCATCGCCGGCATGTTGTGCTACCGTAGGCTTGGAACGTTGCTTGGCCTGGACTCTGGAACGCACGACGATTCGAGGTGTGGAGGCATGAACGGGTTTCTGAAACAGCCACAGCATGTGACGCGATGCGACAACTCCCAAAGTCATGAGACATGGTTTTGGCCGAACACCAGGTTGCCGATGACGTTTTGAGATGTCGAGAACTCTGATTCAGCTCAGACATACTTATGTGGGATGCGATTGGCCCTTCACATTGTCCAAGCGCAAAGTCGGGAGCCTTGAGCGCAATCCAGACGGCAGTTGACGACAAATCACGCGAACGACAGAGCACCAGACTCAGGGACAGGAGACACCGCCACAAATCTCATGGCAGCTTCACCATATGAAGCTCGTCGCCTCGGTCGTTCCTGCTGCCCATGCACATCGCTCGTCCACCTCGGCAACAGCTGTCGCAGACCTGGCCAGGTGCGTGGGGACAACGGCTACTGGCATGTAGCTCTAGCCCCAACCCCGTTCCCGACGAGCTTGAACCGACATGGAAGGGCTCATAGAATATGTCGCACGACACTCTTGACTGCTAGTATGCGTGCTATATGCGGTCTGGCATGACGTTTGATGTGTCTTTGGAAAACAGGTGAAAACATGACAGGTGAGTATACTACATGTTCAAACTCATAAAAAGCGGTGGTTAAATAAACAGCGTTAACCATGGCATCTTGATGTATGATACTATAAAGGGGCTTGTCGCATGCTTCTTGTGGTGAACAGCAGTCCATACATTCCATATCTTCTCTTCCAATACCCTTACTTGTTTTATCCATATTCGCATAATACTTTGTAATACCCTAATATCCCTTCCTTGACGGAACAAAGCGAGACGACTCTATCATTATGAAATTCCTTATTTTTTTCCTACCGTCAGTCACACTTGCCGCCCTCGCCTCAATCTCACAAAATGATGTGAAGAGCGGCGGCGGCTGCAAGCCCATGACCGTCCTCTTTGCCCGCGGAACGACTGAGTTGGGCAACATGGGTTCAATTGCTGGACCACCTTTTGCCATCGCTCTTGGCGCGATGATGGGAGGTGCTGGTAACGTCGCTGTTCAGGGCATCCAGTACCCAGCAGATGTGCCTGGTTTTCTTGTTGGTGGAGACAAAGGAGGCAGCCAGCTCATGGCACAGATGGTCGGACAGGTTCGGGCCCAATGCCCGGACACTACACTAGTAATGGCAGGCTACTCGTAAGTAACACACTGCCCTCAATATCTTTCACATGATTCGCAAGTCTAACAAGAGATCTAGACAAGGTGGTCAGCTTGTCCACAATGCTGCTGATATGCTTAGTGCCGAGGACTCGGCATTTGTGTCTAGCGCAGTCATATTCGGTGACCCAAACAACGGCAAACCGGTCGGCAAAGTCGCAGCAGCAAACACTAAAATCATCTGCGCACCTGGCGACCTCATCTGTGCAGGCCAGCCTATCATCTTGGCACCTCACCTGTCGTATGGTGCTAACGCGGCTCAGGCTGCGCGATTTGTTATGAGCAACATGGCAGCTGGTGGTGCGGCGGCTGGAGCGGCAGCAGGAGCAGGAGCAGGAGCTGCTGCTGCTGCTGCTGCCAAGGGGACTACTAAGGGGGCTGCCACTCGCGCGGTGCAAGCAAAGTACTTCATCTCTTAGACCCCAGTGTCGGTGTGTAGACTCCTCTTCACGTGATGCGCTATATATCTATATCTCCTCTATTGTAGTAGCTGCAGGCCAGCCTACATTACGTTGTCTACATAATTATAAGTAAATAAATCTTCAAATCCGTTTCAGAGTTCCCCTGCCCCAGAGTCACCACACATGTGCGTCTTCCTCGATATGTCTGGAGCGCTCATTCGCAACCTGGGTTGGACTTGACTATGTGTGTAGAGCCGTCTGATGAACACGCATACGAACTGCAACGCTTGTCGACCGGGGTCGCTTGAACAAACGATCCAGACATGAAGTCTACTCAATGATCTTCGATATCTTGGAGAGCTGGCTGCATCTGAGAGAAAAGGAAGAGCAGTTAATCCCGTAGCAGCACCTCAGTACCGAGAAGATTGCAATATACACCGAGACACTGTTCGACAGCAGTAAGAGCTATGACTCAAATGAGACATGATGAATTTTATTGGGAAGAAGTATATCGACCAGATAGTGAGTGATACAATATGGCCTGTTGAGTGAGCAGGTGCGCGACGCTACAAAGAAGGGCTGAGGATTACCGAGAACTCACGGCGAAGTCGGGTTTTCATCACACCAGCATCCCATAGACTCCACTAGTCGATTCTGAAAATGCGGGAAAAGACGTGTGAGGACTGCGGAACGTGCCCAACAAGCTTCAAGGCGAAAAGATTAGGGCTCGACTATTATAAAGTGGGATAACTAGACAAGCTATATACAGAAGCTAAATGCTGTGGTATCATACGACGTCAAGGCTCAGGGAGAAGTTTCCCAATCACTCATTATCCTGACTGCTCGTTGCTTGCCTGGCAGCTTGTCTCTGCGACAGTGTTTACACTCTAAGCAGGCAGCAAGCCACAGCATATGAAGCGACCCCATCCATTCCTCTTTGTACCCTTTGGTTTCTTTCCACTCGTCTCTTCCTCCTCCTCGCCAACAACACGGAGGAACACCTCGTCCAAGGTGGTAGGCGAAACCGAGTAGTATTCCAAGCCTAGCTCTTGGCGATTAGATTCTAGCAACTGAATGAGGCCGGGAATGCCGCCTAGATCAGATGCTGAAGCAGCTGAGGACGAAGTGTTGATTTGGTGAACCTCTGCTTCGGTGACCTTGCCATCTTGAGCATTGTCAAGATGCGCGGGCGATGCAGTCGATTCGGGGGAAGCAGCCTTGAGTACTTTGAATCGGAGTTGTCCGTGGCCTCCACCTCGCGAACCCCACTTGTCGAGCTGAACACCGGGAATCTTCCTCTGAACCCATTGCTTTACGGCTTCCATCTCTTTTTCTGTGGTTTCGGGTGCAGATTTGAGCACAAGCTGTACGACCCAAGCATCGCCATACTGCTGCCCTAGATCACTGACTGTCCCCAGCGCAAGCATTTTGCGCTTCATGATACCGACGCGGGTGGCGAGCTTGTCCGCTTCTTCCATGGAATGAGTGGTGATCAACAAGGCACGCCCAGGTGCCGCTACACCGAGCAGTGTGCGCCACATGACTCTCTTCGCAGCTGCATCCATACCCGAGGACGGTTCGTCCAACAGTAAAACAGACGGATTGCCCATCAATGCAATGCCCAGACTGAGCTTCCGCTTATTACCACCCGAGAGTTTGGACGCGAGACGGTCGTGAAAGCGCCCCAAACTGGTAGCCTGGAGGATCGCATCAACACTGGTCTTTGGGTCGGGGACGCCGCGAGCGCGAGCGTAGAAGTACAGATGCTCCGTTACTGTCATTGAATCCATGGCATCGAATTGCGGACACACACCGAGATGACCTCGTGCGGCTGCACGCTTGCTGATGATTGAGATGTCTTCGATCAGAACGTCACCACCTCCGTTGATGTGTGTCGTAGGATGAATGTCTCCACGGATGAGCGAAATAGTCGAGGACTTTCCAGCACCATTAGGACCAAGAAGAGCGAAAACCTGGCCTTGGGGGATGCCAAAGGTGATGTCGTTCACAGCATGATTGGAGCCGAACGTTTTGTGTAAATGCAGCGCACGTAGGCTGTCTTTGCTCTGCTCAGCGCGTGTAATTTCGGCAGCGACAGCAGGAGGGATAGTATCCACGTTCTCTTCCGAGTGCTGCTGACGGCTTTTTTCTCGGTTGAGAAACGCGGGTCGGTAGCCCGAGTCCCACCACACGAGAGCGGTGAAAAGCAATAAGATTTGTACAATGAGATACAAAATGGGTCCTCCGTACACTGTCAAAGCGCCAGGATAGCTGGGAATTTGATTGCCATCGCATAGTACGCTGAAAGAGTTGAGAGAAAGCAGTTGCGTCCTCAGTAGGCTTGCTGAGGGCGAGATCAACGAGACAGTCCAGTGGAAGTACTGAATGTAGGAGTCAATGGCGTATGCGGGTGCGTAAGTCAGTATGGCCATGTAACCGATAAAGTATATCAGGTAGAGCGACACCATGCCTCCAGCAGCGAAGGCAAATGCCGCCAGTTGCGACGTGACGACAATGGAGATTAGGTAAGCAAAGAGCGTCGCACACAGGCCGTAGAGAAAGAACACCACGAAGAGGTACCCTGGTGCATACCACGCATCGGAAGCCTGTAGCAACGTTAGCCATGCAGATTTGTATGTGCCAATAGGAACTTACTGCAGCAAAGATCCCTGTAGTGACGGCAGAGATCACAAGCACGAACAGGAAATCAAACGCCGTGTATGCCAGCCACAGTGGCACAGCCCGGATACCGTTGCTGTAGTGCAGCGCTCGGACATTCCTAAGCCGCTCTTGTGTCGGATATAGAGCAAATAGCGCTGGGTAGACACACATGGCCAGGCCAAAATACAAGATCAGCTGTAGCGTGTCGCCCATATTAGGAGCAAATGGCACGGCGAATTGCTGGTACTGTGTGGAGATGGTGATGTTTGTCAAGATGTTGTCGAGAGTATTCAGTGTGATGAGGCCACCGATGACACCGCCATTAGCAAGGTAAGCCATGAGTGGCGGGCCGTTATCATTTAGGAAGAAGCCACCGGGTGTGATGTTGCGGAAACGCGTGTTGACGTAGTCGTTGAATTCATCGAGTGTGTCCACGAGGTGAAAACTGTCCTCGGAGACTCCTGTTCGTTGAATGATGGTGTCGATAGCAGGACCGACGGTACTTGCCGGACCGATGGGGATGAGAGGGACATCGTCTACGTTGGAAAGCGAGAATATGGTAGGATCGTTAGCGCTGGCTCCAGGATCGCATCCCACAGCCTCGTAATCCTTTAGGAACAGTGTGACTAGTCCCGCCGCCACAATCGGAAGGAGTAAAGCGAATATGTAGGGCCAAAAGTTGCGTTTGACAATGGTGATACGCTTCTGTACAAGTATTAGTATCTGCCTGAGTAGACTAGTGCCACGACCTTTGCTCATTTCTAGCGTCTTGTCGGTGTCAGAGTGATCTGAAGGTACGTCTCGATCCTTGTCCGACGTTGGGGTTCCAGCTTGCCCACCGTGGTCAGCGTCCATTAGGTTGTACTCTTTGACTTCCTCAGCATTGGCCAGGAAGACATCCTCCAATGTCGGGCCAACAATGTCGTAGTTCTTGACGTCATGATGTCTCAGAATATCAACGAATTTGGTGGCGGGCAGTGCGTTCTCGAATTGGTACTGTAGCATGCCTTCGGAAGGTGCCGGTTTCTTGATGGCATCCACTGGGGGCTTGACAGGAGCGTCTTTCGGATACGTAACGTGGTATCCAGCGCCGACTTCATGTTTGAGCTGAACCGAAGTACCCTTCGTTTTGAGGATACCGCGGGAAAGGATGGCAACGTAGTCGGCAAGGACATCTGCCTCGTCGAGAAAATGTGTCGTGAGCAAGAAGGTGCGGTCACCCCGCTCAGCGAGTAGAATCTCCCAGATCTTCCTTCGCGAGAGTGGATCCAATCCGGACGACACCTCATCGACGCAGCAGACTTTTGAACCGCCGGTGAACATCATGGCCAGCTGAAGCTTGCGCTTTTGACCCCCAGAAAGTGTGCAGGACTGTGCTCTGATCTTGTGCCCCAGATCGCAAGCGCGTATCAGGTTTTCGATGGTATCTTTGGTATCGTAGGTGCCGGTTGACTTTAACTGGTTAAAGATACGAACGTGTTCGTAAACAGTCAGCTCATCCCACATGACATTTTTCTGGGGGCACAGTCCAAGGCCTCCGGTGCCATCAATCTCGATCGCTCCACTAGTGATGGAGTTGAGACCCGCGATGGCGTCCAGCGTGGTGGACTTGCCACTACCATTGGCACCAAGCAAAACCATAATCTGGCCTTTGCGCGCCTTCATGCTGAAGTCTTGCACGGCGACGACTGTTTCCGGTGGCTTGACGCCGAACTTGGCAAGGACGTTGCTGCGAAACCAACTGGGAGTCCAGTGCTTACAAAAGTTTGTCAGGATGATGTTGTGATCCGGCGAAGACGTTGTAGTCTTCCGGTCGGCCGAAACGGTGCCGTAGAGCCAGCGCTCAACAAGAGCGCCCAGAACAGGGTACACAAAAGTCTGTATAATGGCAAATATGCAGAAGACGATGCCGGGAGTAGTCCAGATGTGGTCCTGGTAGTCGGGCGCGGCTTGGACGAGGTTCATTCCAACGAGCTGTCGCTCAAAACGGGCCACGCAAATAATGAAGAAGACGTAGTTGATGGACGGAAAGAGCAGGCTCAGAACGTATACAGCAGCTGTGCTGAAAGGTCCAGCGACTTGGGCGATGATGGCCAGGAGGATCGGGACGATGACGATGGTGATACCAGATAGTTGGGCTTTGCGGAAGAAAGCCGCGCCGAAGATGGAGAAGCTGGTCAAGGACAGGCCAGCAAGGATGTGGAAGATGATCAATATGGCAGCGTTGGAGGTTTGGAAAGCCAGAGCCCAAAGGATGGCGCCCATAATGACCCAGCCCGGGAAGTAGATGATGTCGAAAGCAATGTGCATGGACAGAAGACGGGCAAACTGCGTGTGCCATGGCTTTTTGGCGGGCGACATGGCTTCGACCAGCTGGGATATGCCGCGTTCTCTCTCCTCGGCCATTTGCCCCGTCAGCTGATAGGTGACGCCGCACACGCCAATGTACAGAGCCACGCCCATGATGTTGATGAGTGCGCCCATGTACAGGGTCCTGATGCGATCGTCGTATTCTTGCTGCGTACGCTCTGTGTACGGGTACTCGTCGGTGGCGGGAATGGCAGCAGAGCCCTCGACGGAGGCGATGGCCTGGTCGATGGCGCGCTGGAAGGGCAGAATGTAGATCTGGACATCGTTGTCGTCCTGGCCCACGTAGATTTCCTCTCCCAGCGCTCCGTCGGATCGGATGGTGTAGTTCCAGCTCTCGCCCTGGCCTTGGCTCGGACTGGAAAGGAAGGACACTGCACCATAGCATGTGCTGGCGCCCCGCAGCGAGCTCTCGCACGTCGAAAGCAGTTGAACATCCTGCTGAATAGTCACGGCCTGCAGGCCAGCGTCGCGGACCTGGGTGGATAGCTGTGCAATGACGTCTTGAATGTCGCCACCAGTGTGTCCGTTGTTGACGAAGACGACCTTGTCACGGCCGCCTTGGGCAGCACCGAGGGCGTCGGGAAAGGAGCGGATGAGAGACGGCTCACCGATGCCGTACTCTGACGGCGGGACAAAGAAGTTTTTCGCATAAGATATGAAGAACATCTGCGGCAGAGCCCTGGTTAGCCATTGTTGTGCGGGGGGCGACGAGGCGTCGACATACAAAGATAACGGGAGCCCAGAATGCGCGGACACTCGTGAAGAACCAGTGGCGCACGAAGACGACGAGCAGCGTCTTCTTGGTGAGGATCCATGTCTGGCTCACGATTGCGCCCGCCATGGTGGCTTTGTAGTCTTGGGGCGGCGTCGTCTCGAGATGGGGTCGCAGTCGCTACAAGGCCGCGCGTGGAAGCATCCTGCTTCTCTTAGGAGAGTGGAAGGGCGCAGAGAGCGTCTTGAAGCATGGATGGCGAAGAGACGACGCCAATGCCGCGCCCCGTACCCAGCGTATACGGAACGACGCCGAGCAGACGACGTCTTGTCCGACGTCTTGGACCCGCGCCAGCCCTCCAGGGCCGTCGCCATGATCCACATGGGGCGCCAAGCTTGGAAAGTGCCAACACGCTGCGTGCCTGCCCAGCGGCCCGGCTTACCTCAGCCTGCTCCCGTAGCTGGGTCCAGGTCTGTGTCGCGACGCCTGTCTACCACAGTTGGCATGCCTGAGCACGCTGTTCGAACGCGGCTCGGCGACTGCATCCGCCCAGACAGCGCCCAGTCATGACAAGCCTCGCGTGCACATCCTGGCATCCTGGCATCGCTGCGCCTCCTGTCCTGTTTGCCGTCGCGTCATCGATTGTGTGCGACGCGGTAGGGCCATCGTGCCATGACCTGCCCCAGACGGGCCGACGTGTGCCGACAGCGTGGTTTACAGTGCACCGTCGCCGCAACCTCACCTCATGCTAGGAGAACAAGTCTAGGTCCGTTGAATATTCACCCACGCCCTTTGCGTCTTGATATGCTTGTCCGCTCGGCTTCGTGTGCCCCAGTCACGCACGCAGCTCTTCTCCAGGTTCCCGAGGTCTGGTAGGGACCTATCGCTCATCTGGGATAGTCACGTGATGGGGTGGTATCGGCCACCCTGGACGAAGCTATGACGGGGGGTTCGTGGCTGCCGAGGCCGTGGCACGCGTCGGCGCAGCCTCCTCCCACAGCAGCGGCATCTCTCCTGCGCAACGACGACGACGCCGACGCCGACTACCAGCTCGCCATGGACTTTGACGAGGCGCTGCCCTCTTCGCCGCCGTGCGCGGGCACCGACGACCTCGCGCCCAGCCCCTTCTTTGAGCGGCACCCCACGGCCTTCACCACCAAGTCGAGCTCCCCTCCGCCCGTCTTCTCCAGCGACGACTCGTGCGAGTCGGTCGACGTGGCCAACTACGAGTCCCCGCGCATACACAAGAACAAGCGCAAGGGCGCGTGGTGGGACACGCACGCGTCTGCCCACGCCAGCCCCCAAGTCAAGAAGACCAAGTTCGCGCGCAACTTGGACTCGGGCATCTACATGCTCAGCGACGCGACCAGCAGCTGCGACGACCTGCCCCTGCCCCCGTACATGCCGCCAGCCTCTCTCCGCGCCGCCGTCTCGCTCCCCCGCTCGCTCCACGCGCGAGCTGCCGACGATGAGGCCATGGACGTCGACGTCGACGTCGACGTGGCGAGACACGCCGCTCCAGCGGCCGTCTTCAACCGGCACATCGACGACGGCCTTGCCGCGGACCGCGAGTCGTACGACCTCGTTGGCCTCGACCTCGCCGACCGCGACATCACACGCATCGGCGAGCTCAATTGTGTCATCAGCCACCCTCCCGTCTACGACAACGAGCTCCCCACGGCGGGCCAGTACCGCTCTCTGCTCCCCAGGCTCCACGTCAACCTCGGCAAGAACAAGCTCCGTCGCCTCGTGCCCGCTTTGTTCCACCTCGACGATCTCACTGGCCTCTATCTGCGCCAGAACGACATCGACGAGCTTCCCCAGCAAATCAGCCGCCTGCGCAAGCTCGAGGCCCTCGACGTATCCCTCAACAAGCTTCACTACCTCCCCTTCGACATCGTCACTCTTCTTGCCCCACATGGAAACATGACCCGCCTCACTCTCATGGGTACCGATCTGCTCCAGCCAATGTCCTTCCGCCGCTTCTCCCTCACCGACTACCAGAAGCAACACCAAGGGCCCCTTCGCCACCTCGATGACGTACGAGAAGACGCAAACAAGCAGCTCGCTCATCTCTATCCAACGCTGGCAACGTGCCAAGACCGCGACCAGGCTGTCTGGCGCATCCGCTATTTCGAGTCCTGGGCCAACTCTTTTGGCGGTGCAGACGACGCCCGAGAGTGCGCCGCTGAAGATGTTGGCTTCTATTCGCACCACCCGTCGTTGCGCCTAGAGGCTTTAGTAGAGGGCGATGCCGTTGCCCACGCGCCACGGTACATTGCTCGGACTCTGGTTTCTTACTATGGGCAGGATGGCAAGCTTCTCAAGGGCTCTCCAAAGCTCCCTACTTCCGACCAGGAACACTACCCCGTCATCATCGAGACGAATCAGGGTACATACGGCCTACCTTCCTCACCGTGGTTCGTCCCTCCGTGCACAAGCAAAGTTTCCTCCCTCTTCACAACGACCCTGCATATGGCACTTCACTCTTTGGAGCCCCACAAAATACGTGACTACCTCAGCCCGTGTGCTCTCCCCATGGTGGAAGCCATTCTCTCGCGAGCAGAAGCGAACGCTGGCGACGGATACGGTCTCTTCCGCGAGTGCCATGTCTGTCGCAAGCATTACGTTGTGGCACGCGCCGAGTGGGTTGAATTCTGGAGTCGGGGCTCAGGTGACTTTCTTCCACTGAGAGTTAGCGTATGCTCGTGGGGTTGTGTACCTCCAGACATGGTCAAGAGACCGCAGAAGGAATTGACATGGTGAGGCCAGGAGGTTGTCAGTTGATGCCAGACAGTAACGTGAGATGTTTATTGTAGTCACAAACCATCAAGTTGTGTCGTGAAACAAGTCATACTCTTGCAGGAATACACCAAAGACACTCGGGTTGCATCGGTCACAGAGTCTCCGACACGCCTGTCTATCCCGACACCTAGAACACCACCCGTGGACTCGAGATGTAGCTAGGTAGAAATCTTGTAGCAACTCCCATATCCATGCAGTAACACCTTCTTGGCATGGTGCTCAATAGCCATCGTACCTTGGCCCGTCTACTCCACATGCGAAAAGCCCTTGGCGGAAAGTGCGCTAATCTTGCTGGTCGCGTTTACGACAGCTGCTCTACATCACTCATATTCCGAAACTTAAGCGTGTTGCCTACGCTTGGATCATGTATGGCGGAATGATGACAACCGTAGCTGCCTCTCTCAGCTAGATGGATTGCTAGCCGAAACAGGCTTGGACGGCGCTGTTCGCACGATTGCGATAACAACACGCCGTGCTAGTGGGCATCCCTGGTGCATCATTACTTCTTGTAGGCCTATATCTCGTACTCCGATTCCTGATTCGATACCAAGATATAAGGCTCGCCAAGCACACCTGGGCATGTTCTATGTGCGAGCGTGTTTGTCGTGCCTTCCGAGACCACCTGCACACAAGCACTTCTACGCAGCTGCGCAGTTCCATGCTGCACCCACGGATGTGCATATGGAATCGAACATCTCTACAAGTAGCCTAGCTCGTCTATGAACGCTGAAGAAGCTTATCAGCTCTTGCACTCTCTTGCCGTTGTCCTTATCGGCGCCTATCTTCAGCCCTGGTTCGTATCCTTGCCAGTCTCGACTCGTTCCACCGGACCATCGTCCGCGGCTTGACGTGAGCGTATGGAGAAAGCCATATCAGCGTTCATCTGGGGTTATCATGTCCGGCTTGGTGAATCCGCGTGGGACTACGTATCGCAGCTGGACAAGCATTCCTTGGTTACACGGCTAGCATGCTGACCGGGTTTACTTGATCCGACTGCATGCAAGACTCTTATCTACAATTCAACTCCCTTTTCTACTTCTTGACTGATTGTTTACCGTCAGAGTCCCAAAAGCAGTCATGTCCGAGAAGAAGGCAGAAGACTCGGCTATCGGAGAACAGAGCGTGGACTATGGCATTGGCCATGTTCGCAAGTCGCATACGGCGAGTCGCAGGAAAAGCTCCGCGGTCGATCCAGAGATTATTGCGGGAGAGATATTCGACGAGCGTTATGAGACTACCCAGCGTGGTCTGAAGTCACGGTCAGTAGACCCCTCTTGATACCCTATATCCTCAAAGACTGACGGAACGTAGACATGCTCAAATGATTGCGTTGGGTGGCACAATAGGTACTGGGCTCTTTGTCGGCTCAGGCCAAACCCTCGCTCGTGGCGGCCCGGCCTTCATCCTGTCCACGTACATCGCCATGTCGTTCTTGATCTTTTGTACCGTTGCGGGTATCATTGAAGTCGCGGCCTATCTGCCGACCCCGGGGTCTTCCATGGTAACTTGTGGCCGTACCCAAGGCATGTGACACACGACTGACCTTGTACCTTCAGAACCTTTTCGGTTACCGCTATGTGTCGCGCTCTATGGGGTTCGGCCTGGGTTGGCTATACTTCTACTCGCTCGGTATCCTTGTGCCTTACGAAATCACGGCAGCCGGGTTGGTCATTGAGTATTGGAACCCGCCCGTGAACATCGCAGTGTGGATCACAGTCATGATCATTGTCATCGTTGGACTGAACTGCTTTCCAGTCAGGTTCTACGGCGAGACAGAGTTCTGGTTTGCCGGAACAAAGGTTATCATGATTTTAGGGCTCCTGATTCTGTCATTTGTTTTGTTTTGGGGTTAGTAATACCCCTGCACAAACTGCGTATGATACAACCACTGACTTTATACATTTATCTTAAAGGCGGCGGTCCACAGCATGACCGACTCGGCTTCCGGTACTGGAAGAACCCTGGCGCGGCGAATACGTATCTAGAAGAAGGAAATGCTGGGCGATTTGTGGCCCTCTTATCCACTATGGTACTCTCTGCTGTAAGCATGCTTCCGGCGAAGCCTTATATCTACTTGTCTGACCCTCATGTCTAGTTCCCCTTCACGTTTGCTCCCGAGCTTCTCGTTGCAACAGGTGGCGAGATGCAGTCACCGCGTCGCAACTTGCCTACTGCGGCACGCAGATACATATACCGCCTACTCTTCTTCTATGTTGGCAGCGTACTGGCTATCGGAATCATTTGCCCCTCCGACGACCCCATCATTACGTCTGGTGGTTCTGGAGCTGGCTCGTCGCCCTTTGTTGCGGGAATTAAGAACGCTGGCATCCCCGTGCTGGACAGCATCATCAACGCAGGTATCATCATCAGTGCATGGTCGTCCGGAAACTCCTTCCTATTTTTGTCCTCGCGCTCGCTATACGCGCTCGCCCTGTCTGGCAACGCACCTTCCGTCTTCAAAGCATGCACCAAGTCCGGTGTACCGTATTGGGCTGTTACTGCCTCTTCGTTGTTCTGCGTTCTGGCATACCTAAACGTAGGCAGCGAGAGTGCGGTCGTCTTTAACTGGTTCGTGAATTTAACAAACACGTCTGGATTCATCTCCTGGATCTGCTGCGGCATCATCTTTCTGCGCTTCCGGAAAGCCTGCGAAACGCAAAACATCACGGATCTTCCATATCGCTCACCGGTGAACAAGTGGGGTGCTTGGTGCGTCATCATCAGCTTTACAATTCTCTGTTTGGTCAACGGGTTCGATGTCTTCTGGCCTGAGAAGTGGGACGTTAGCTCTTTCTTTACTGCGTACGTGGGTATTCCCATGTTCTTCCTGTTCTATGGGGGGCATCGCATCTGGGCCTGGAGCGATAGTTGGGCTTATGATCCAGCAGAGGTAGATCTGAAGACGGGTCTGGATCAGGTGCTTGCTGAGGAGGTGCCGGCGCGAACAATGAATATGAAAGGGCCGTGGTGGAAGAAAATCACCTTGCTTTGGCAATAGACGCGAAGGCGCTTCGAAGAGCTGTACGACAGGGGCAGGCAGCTATCGGTTCTCCCAAGTCATCTTTTTGTTCTACCATCATTCATTATGCAACATCTCGGACATTGCCCATCAAGCCGCTTCTCTTATATCCCCCTCCCGGACGGTCCCGTAACGTCCTGACTGAGAGAAGGAGACATGTCCGTGTCATTTTCCTAGCATCCTCCGATGGAATCTGATGGAAGGAAGCACACCATCGTCTTCGGGGCCCAGGCTTCGCAATGGTGGGTACTCAAGATAGCAGCACGTGAGGGTCAGAAGAAGCTGCGTAGCTCCGGACGAAATTAGCGCCAAACGTGCCACCTGCGTCATTGACCAGCCCTGGAGGGATGTGGGGCCGGGTGGCTGGGTTCCGCATCATCAACATTCAACCGACTACGCTACTACGCTTGTCCATTGCTTCATCATCCGCAACCGACTACCGTATCTTCCCTAACTTCATCAAGTTCATTCTGGTACAATCCATCTCAGTCGTCTTCATCTTCCTTCTTCCGCTGGCGGTTCAGCTCATCGATAACCTTCTTGCCACACGCCAAAACCTCCAGTGTCCGACTCTTGTTATCGTGGTCTCTTGTTTCCGGGACCAAGAAATATGTTGTTACGGCACCTGCGAGCATGAAAGCGCTCATTACTTGCAGGATATGTCCGAAATTCTTGCGTTCCCATTCAAAATCGCTTGTGGGTTCGGATTTGTCGGATTGGAATGCATATGCCAGAAAGACTTGCACCACCCAAGACCTATGGTGCGAGTTTTCGAAGTCAGTAAATGTCTCATATGCAGTTCTTCCGCGGTTTGTCCTCACCCGAGTTTGCCACTAGCCGCAGCTATGCCGTGGCAGGTGCACCGGTACCTCGTAGGGAATATTTCGGCAGGGATAACTTGATGCACGAAATTAGTAGATGTTTCACAACAGGTCGCACACGGATATCACTTACTAAAAGTCGTCACATTCGGTCCCAGGTTGAAGGCGATGTGGCTGAGCACGTAAAGCACAATGAGTCCCGAGCGACTGCTGTCGAGTAGGTTGGTCCAAGCACTTCCGGTTACGATGAAGAGAACGAATAGAACCAAGAACCCCCAGAACTGAATCACTTTTGGCGAAGCATGCTTGACAATCTTGATCATTAGCAGGCCGCCGACAACTGTCCCTATGGAAACCATCACCAGGGTGTGTTTGCTATTATCACTCAACGTCTGGTAGACGGAAGATCTGCTGTTGTTGTTTCCCTGCCAGATGTGGCTGACAATTTCTGGTGAAGAGAGGCCCAACCCATAGACTGTCTCAAAGTTAGTGATTTTACCGCAGTGGTCTGGCAGTGTACCTACACGCGAAATCGAGAAACAGCCAGGCCAACGACGTTCCTAGAAGGTACTGCCAGTTTTTCTCCGCTATAAAGAATTGTTTTGCGTCGGCCCACGAGGCAAGTGGAGGAACAAAATCCGGGTCGCCTGGAGGAAGCCGGCCGCGAGGCGCTGCGGCGGGACGAAGATGTACGTCACTGAGTCGGTGTCCGGAGTCACTGTCGCTCTCAATCTCCTCGTCGGGTGCAATCACCGAAGCGTTGGTCGATTGCCTCGATACAGGCCTCGAAACTTCCTGTGTTACAGCCAGATCTAGCAGTTCCCTCTCGCCATGTTCGGGGTCTGTTCCGGGCGCACCAAAGTAGTTCGCCGTATCTTCGAGGGTGCTTTTTGTGTTTTGCAAGATGTCCAGCGTATACCTCGGACTCTCTGGTATCGTGAATCGAAACAGCAGAGCGATGAGAGCCGGCACAATGCCGATCCCAACTACGAGCCTCCAAAGTCGATCGATAGCTCGGAAGCACTCCAAGTCGGCAGGCTGACAAGACTGCGTGGCCTCCTTGATCCATGGCTTGTACGACTCCACTGCAGCAAGTGATAGAACATTGGCGAGCAGCTGTCCAACAGGTTGGGCGAAGAAAACCCAGCTCAACATTCGCGCACGATGTTTGCGAGGTGCGAACTCGGCAGTAATGACCTGAACCCACGATTAGCGTCAGCACGGTCACGTTGGAAACAATACCTACAGCACTCAAAGGGTAGTCCGCCCCGATACCGATCCCTAGTTATCGTCAGTCTTACGATGCATTCGTACATCAATTCGCTTCTTACCCATGATCGCTCGCCAGGTGATCAGCCATCCTCCAATTGCCATGCTGTTCTTCTCCCCGTTCGAACTCATGAGCAGCAGCATTGTGCCAACGATGACGATTACCAGCTCAAGACCATACATTTTTCGTCGGCCCAATATGTCTGCCGCGAAGCCGAATCCTATCTGGCCGACCATTGTACCCGCTAGTGTGGAACACATCATGGCTGTCTTGACAGAGGACGGCACCGAGGGTATACCGCCTTCGTTGCGATTAGGCCAGTAGACATAACCGAGCATGGGGGTAACGACATTCAAAGCAAAAAGGCCGAACGAATCTGTTAGGAAGCCGATCCCAGCTACTACTACTACCCAGACCTGGAAGGGCGCTGAATCAATCGTCGCAAGAGTCCACCGTCGACGCCTTATCTCCTGTCCATCAGATTAGCGAGAGAAGATCGATCCTAGGACTACTACGAGTGGCAGAGGGAAACCTACCGGTATACCGCTCCCGCCTGTTGTTATGTCCGGCACCCCAACTTGGTGGCCTCTCATTGGACGCATGATCCATTTACGGAGGCCCATTGTAGCGATAGGGGTGACAGAACTGTAACAGTATGGTAGTTGTACCTACGTGCGAGGGTTCCGGCAATAGTCAGTATGTAACGGGGTCTGTCGTGCAGAACCGCCGTGGGGCAGCATCTTTCATATTGTGAATGCGCAAAGCTTCAGCCTCCACCATGACACGGACTACCGAAGGCAGATTTCAGACAGCGTGCATAGCCCGATACCACAAGGCAAACCGGTCAACAGAAGAGGACGCATGCGAACTGGTGCTATTCGTGCGTTCTCAATCAGCGCATCCAATCTCGTTTGGTTCGCCGAAGTCAGGCTTGGTGGCGTTCATTGCCGCGATCCAAGCGTCCAGGCCTTCATCACTGGAGTCCTTTGGAATGTGTGGTTGCTGCTGATGTCTAAATCATGGTGCATTCTCCGGCTCCTCCCGTTTGCGATGCTTCCGAGGTCGTTCAGCTGCGAACGCTGCGATGAGTGGGCAACAGCATCTTGCTTTATGAAATCCGGTTCCTTGTGAGTTCGTGCAGGCTGCATCAAAACATGTTCCGAGATTCCAAGGGAAAGCCACGCGTGGCTGAATCGAGCCCTGGAGTTGGCTGGCCCGTCTGGTAGTCGACCATGGCCGTTCGCTCCCCCACGTGTTGATCTTCGCAACCTCATTGAACGCCAAAAGCTACTATGCCGAATTAGGCGTACCATTCTAATACCGCCACATGCACAAACACGAGCTGTCCGCCACCTTTGGATAAGCTCATGGCTGCCCTGGGCTGCCCTGATTGCTGCCGACAGTAGAAGGCTTCGACGAGTTTGCGTGCCTGAGCGGTAGCAGGATGTCAGCAGCGCCGTGAGCCACCCCCCAGATGCCGGAGCGGTCTACCTTAGGCTAGCTCTATCGGACGCGTGACGAAGAGACGACCGTAAGCTCAGGTGGTTCTTACTACACCTGCTTGTCCTTTTCATGGAAGCCTGATGCTTGGACGATGATTGTCCCTACTGTGCACCAACAGTTCTATAACGTATGAGCAGTCTTTACACAAACTCTGTTGCGCTTGAGCGCGGCGCAACCCTACGAATATGTCCTTTGGGTGCAGTCCGTCCGATGTTCTGAAATTGTTGGAGATTTCGACCCGTGTATATCTTGCGTTCAAAGGTATGGCGCCAGCTACCCCCCTCTGGTGGCAGTCATCAGGGACCACCTCGCTCATCATTGCCACTAGATGCCAACGAAAATTCGGAAGCGCAAGTCAGTGGGCTTGTTAAGGAATTCACCACATTCCATGGCTGTCTCAAAGAGCTGGGCGAGCTAATGAAACAATATGGCCAGCCGCTACGTGAGCGTTCATCTGTGTACTACATTTGCGGCATGCACTGACGCGAGATAACAACGCGCAGCATTCCCTGTCCAGGATTTCGAAGACACGCTGAAGAAGTGTGAAAAGACCCTGGAGCCATACGCTGAACATCTCGTCGATAAGAAGATGACCGTCAAGAAGTTCATCTTCACGATCAGATACATCGGGATGGAAAAGGAGATCGATGGGCTGAGGAAACAGATCAGCGGCCATTACCAAGCGCTGAACATGTGCATTTCCTTTCTGCAATTGTAAGCCTCTTTCGTACTCGAAACAACAGTCGCTGACCGTCGTTAGGCGGCTACATCTCGAGGCAACCAAGCAGACTCAGCGTCTTCTCGACGCTGCGCCGTCTCGTACAGTAAACCTCGGCGGCCGCTCTTACTCCACAAACACTCTTGGTGTTCCAAGCAACCGCGCACCACTGGCACTCGCGTCTTCCGACGAACACCCGTTGTTCAGCGAATGGAAAATCTTTGATCGATGGCTGCAAAGTGAGGACGAACGTGTTGCTCAAGAAGCGGGACTATCGCGGCCTCGTTCTCTGGGAGACACACCTGCTACGTGTTCTACTGGTGATGTTCAGACAGCTGCTGTACTATATCATCTGAGACGGCAGGTTGATGACGCCATTTTCATCGAGGAGAATCGCGCAAAGCGAGCTACGGCGGAGAAACGCTCACACTTGGTCCCAAGCGACGCGATGAAGCAGCAGGTCCGCAACATGCCACCAGCTCCATTGCGAACCTACACCCTCGAGACAGATCACTCCGGGAACTTCACCATGTTTGGCCAAGACAGCTTGAGTGACTCCACGGGCAGCAACCGCCCGACCTTGAGTCTACAGCCATCGTCTCCAGATTACTTTGGATCAGTCGATTGGTCGCAGTCGCCTAGACCGACATCGCTTGAGCCTAATAGGATACCTTTTAGTTCCACAGTTGCCTGTAGCGAAAGCTCTTCGCCCGCATCACCGTCGTCAACGGGTACTGCCTCAGAGAAGCCCTTATCTCCCACTTTGCGGCGCAGTCTCTCGCGCACATCCTTGGCAACCATGGCATTAGGAGACGCTGCACTCGACTGGAAGCGAATATGTCGCAACGTTCAGGTCGAACGAAAGTCTCTGAAGTACGGATCCGAAAATCACGAGTGCGAGGTTCGGTGGCGATATCGAGAAGATACTGGCATCTCGCTGCGAACAGTCTATCACTCTAGCCAAGACGGGAAGCTTCGAACATGGACTGAACAGCACTTTCCTGCTACCGGGCCAGCGATACCCTTGACTACCACGTATGTTGACGGTGCAGTATCTGTCGATTTTCCGCGCAGCTCGTTCGGGAAACTCAACAAGCAGTATGTTGACATCAAGTACACGTTCATTGGCCACGAATCAGCAAACAGATTCCAGACCTTGTTGTACACCAACAACGGTGCCGACTCTGCTAATCTCGAATTTGATCGACCCATATTGAGCATATCCTCGGATCACAATCCGACTGAATGTCGTGGAAGAAATTTGCGGCTGTGGCGGCGTACCGAGACGCATCTAGCGGATGGTGGGCTCCTTACGTCTGAGGTCTTGATCCTGCTGTTTTACACGAGCGCATTGGAAGAGGACGGGCACTGGGTCGAGGAGCCGCACTACGCATTCGAATGGCTCACGGAGTCGGTCTATAAGAAAGACAGTGACAAGCTTACGCTTCTCTTCTCAAAAGACGCACCGCGTTGGGCGACTGATAAGCTTTTCAAACGCCGCAAGTCATCCACACAGACGGATTCCGAAGCAGCGAATCCGTCTCGCAAGAAACGCAACGACTCTATGGAAATGCTACGGTTTTCTCGATCAGACAGCGTTACTTCAGGGTCGTTGAGCGGCTCGCCGATTCCTTTGAAAGATATATCGGGAGGTGGTGGTGGTTTTTCGAGGGCTGCTAATCTGAATCGGTTTGGGTATTCGGCGTTAGAGATCAAGTTCCAGAGCAGGAAGGACAGGATGGCGTTCTTAGACATCTGGAAACAGTACGTCAAGCCGCTGAGTGTGTCCTGAAGATCGCAATGGGCAGATAGAAAGTACACGGCGCATTGTACTGTACCGTGGTTTTATGCACAGATATCCGGAAGTCCGACCTTCCAAGCAGACGGACTGTTGAAGATTAATATTTGGAACAAGAGGTGTGCGATGAGAAAGGCTCCAAAGTGAATGTAGTCGTCTTGTCAAGCACAGACAGGGCATACTGGTTGTTGTAAAGCTTCACGAAATCTAATTGAGACGAACATCGCTTTGTAATGCTAGTAGCGACAATCACAAAGTTTACAAAACTGCCTCGTTATTGAAGAAGTGTGCACGGCTTCGATCGAAAACACCTGGTTGCGGGCACCACGGATGCGCATGACACGTCGTCCGCACGGACTTTGCGCTTATCCAATTCGGGTGCTGTACATGTATTACGTATCGGTCTATGATGTACTCAGCGATGACACGTTGGGAAATGCAATAAGGCATTGTCCGCGGAATGAAACCTACATGTGATCGTAGCAGGACTTATAAGCGAGTCCGACTCATTGTTGAGGGCGAAGGGTTGGAAGGCGAGGGCCTGGATCCTGTGGGCGGCACATTTCATTTTACCCGCATCAAGTTGTTCTCGCATGTACGTATACGAGAAGGCGTTCCGATGAAAGATGTACCCCCCATATTTGAAGCAGTCATGATCTGATTGGGAGTTAGGGCGAGAGCTAGATAATTACAAAAAGCCACCTTTCATCACGCTTATCACAGCTTGGAACCATGACGGAAGCACCTCAGAGCTGGAAACAGCTTGTAGTAGAACTTTTGAATAATGAGAACCATGAACAGTAATGACGGAATGTTGCGCGATCAACAGTATGTAGACATCCATGTAGAAGTCAATCAAATACAGGTCTTGTTGGCAGCCATTTTGCCGAACTCATCCACATTCAGGACAGCACCTTCTGCATCGTATTCAATCCTGACCTGCTGGTTGCTCGAGACAGAGGGATCGCCTACAAGGTAGTTGAGCGGTTCGAACCTCATGGCCGAATGAGCAGAGCTGAACATAGTATTGGGCAAGTCGCCGGTGTGCGGAAGATGGTGCATGCCGAGGTTGAACCAAAGCACTCTGTGTTCTGTTAGTAATTGATATATTACGGGGTGCAGTATCAACAATAGATGGAGAAAGGAGGTGGGTTTACGAACAAATCTTCTTGATCCAGACTCTCGTCGTCAAAGAAAGTCTCAAAGTTGACAAGCGGATCGTCCTTGGAGAACTGGTTATTGGCATCCGCAGCCCTTGGCTCAGTGTCCTTTTGCTGTGTGACATAGAAGTCGTGAGTCACAAAGGCACCTGTCTTGCCAGTGTTTGTCGAGTTCGTTTGTGTAAGGTGGATGGTGCCGGCAGATCTTTTGATTCTGTAACCTGGGTACTCGCCATACGGGTTCGGCGTGTCCCTATTGACAATGGCGTACAACACGTTATCGTTCTCGGCCCAATTGATCATGGACTCGCTCTCGTCGGCTACCCAAGATCGCTCAGCCTTGAATGTATTGTATACGCGACCCTGGCTCCAAGGATACGATGTCGAAGTCGGCACAAACTGTAGCTTTTGTACACTGTTCTTCCTGCCGTTGATGTCAAGGTCGACCTTGAAAGTGAGGGTGTGGTCGTGCGAGCTACCCGAAAGGAAGTCGTGTATATGGAAGCCGTACTCAGGCTGATCCTCCCAGTAAGCAGCGGCAATGTATCCAGAAAAGCGTGAAGAAACCTCGATACCGCCATCGTAGAAGAAGCTGTAGTCGATGAGGAAGTCGTAGTTGCCTACTGTGGCTACCGTGCGCATGACGAACTGGATGTTCTTTGCTACGCTAGTGTGTGGCGCGGATGGTGAAAAGGAATGGCGACGGATTGGGTAGCCCGCGTCAAATTCGAACAAACATATAGCGTCGGCTTGCGTCTTGACCGTGTCGCCTTCTGTCCATGTTGCAGGCAGGTATGTAGCATGACTAGGGCAGTCATAGCCTCTGACAAGAGGCTGCAAGGTCGATCCCATACCACTCGTGGTATCGAAGAAGGTCGCTTGTGATTGGAAAGGGTCGGAGCCGGAGTATGATGTCAGAGCCTCCTGCAAGGACAACTCGTAAATGATGCGTCTGCCTTTGTATTTGATGTCAAACAACGACAGGCCAAGGTCCTGAGAGACGGCATGATAGAGGGTGAAGTCCATCCAGGATATATATCCCTCTTCCGTATCGATCTTGAATCGCTGGTCGCCCTGAGCGACAGAAGCCGGCGGCGGTAGGTTGTCCAAAGGCATGGGCGTTCCCTGCCTGTCGGTAGACGTCCAGTTTCCCAGTACGTTTGGTGGTGGCGTCTCATAGTCGGGAGCGTTAATTGCGGCACGGAACTCTTCTGTGCTGGCATAAAATTTGCCATACGAGTACCAACCGACAGCTTTCCAGGTATCCGAGATTGGTCCGGTCAAGTCAAATTTCACAGCGAATCCGAGTGGCTCGACGGTAACACTGCTGAGATTGGTGCCAGGGTCCGCAAATGCTCCTGCCCAGGAGATGGTTCGGCCCTCTTCATCCCAGAACGGGCTTCCAAATCTAAGACCAATGCTACCAGTAAGAAAAGTCTGCATGCATGTAAGCCTTTGTTGTTGTATGTTGTGGCTGGCTTCCACTCACAGTGTTGAACAATTGCATTGAGATATCCTCAGTCTCTGTCGCGAACCTCGTAAAGAAACTCGTCGCGTCGCTGGGTGAATACATGGGATGCATTTGTGTTCGACCTGGTTGGGAGTTTTGGAACGGGAAAGTCAACGGTTCGACCGCAGTCGCATTGGTTGCTGGCAATGGTCCCACCATGTACTCTTGCCAGTGCTTGTCTGTCGAGTTGGTGGTACCGCTTTGAACAGTAGCTCGCGCATAGCGCTTTGGAGCCGTAGCATTGCTGTCAAGGAAGGGAAGAGTATCCGTCTTGTTGGGATGAAGAAGAGCGAGCTGTACTCTGATATCGCATTAGTGTCCGGCGAGTGAGAGGTGTCTAACAATGGTCGACTTACACGTAACTATCACGGCTAGATCCTTGGTTGCCAGTCAAGCTCATTCGCTCTTGGAGAAGTTCATTGACACTAGCAGCTTCCTCCTCGGAAAGGGTCTTCCACGGGTTTTCATGCGGTGCACTCACTGTGGGCTGGCGGTCGTTGATCGTGTTATCCTGCGCTGTGGAGAAGGTGACCAAGACGGCAGCACCAAGCGTTAAAGAAGAAGTCCACTTCATATTGAGCAGAACGAAATGGAACGAGCGTGCCGTTTCCGACGTGCAGACCTCTGCAGATTATATGCCCGTCTACTGGCCCATGCCTTTGTGGTAACACGGTAGGTCTAGGGGCGTTCGTGCTGTCATCGTGCGTGCGCATCCCCGTGGCTGGCTCGCGTCCTTAGCGACGAGAAGCTATGCCTCAGACATCGGTTTGTTGAGCAGCCTCAAAAAATAACATCACACTGTTGCTTTGCCGCACGCGGTAGGCAAGAAAGGAAGTGATCAGCGCCAGGGTCGCTTTCTGCATGTTGTGCAAGGGAGATTCAGCTCCACATCCGAACGTCACGGACGGAGGCGCCTCCTTTACATGATGCAGCTGCAGAAACGATTCTCGCGACAAGAAACACGAGTGGAGACGCAGAATCGGGAAAAAACATGTTGCTCGAGCGTAAAGGTGTGCCCGGAATGTGGTAGAAGTGTCGCGCACGACTGGTAGCTCAGGGGCGGAGCCTGCCTTCCGGAAGCTTGGTACGGTAAGGTACCCCGCAGAAACAATACCGGGCAGAAGTAATTAAGCAAACAAGCTTTTTCTGGCTACCTGTCGGTTCCAAGATTTGGTCGCCGATGCTACCTACCTAGATGCGTGATACATGCTTCTGGAATGCTGCAAATAGAACAGCCTGCGTTGCCTCACACCCCCGTTAGTGGACACCTGCAGTCTTCACGTGTCCTGCCCTTCGCCACGCTACACCGTTCCAAATCCAAACCTCTCGTCATCGCCTTCGGTTGTCTGGCCTCTGCTTCTCTCCTCCACTCTGCGTTTTGCGGTCCTGGTCCCACTTGCTCCTTCTCTCCGCAAGTCCTGGCTTGTCTTTCTTGACTCCTTGTATCTGGTGCTCCAGGACTTTCCCCATCACAACCAACATGTTCATAGCCGACTTCATGGCTATGAACATTTTGGAGCTCCGCTCTGGTGTCATGACCATGTATACCTTTGCGTCTGTTGCTAGAAATTCTTCCAAAACTAGGAGATCGGAATGAGCGGGGTTGCGAAGAGCAGCTTTGAAAGCGATCTGGTGGACTTTCCGGGCGGCTATATATTAGTTCGACATTATTCAATACGCCTATCTGGGCAACGTTGTGATGTTGCTGTTATTTCAAGCGTATATTCCCGGTCACGGTGCAATGGGAGCGAGAACATGCGCTTTCGTTTGTATAGATCCATTTCTCATATTCTCGTCACCTTTCATCAGTCCCAGCACGCGATAATCAAAATCACCAGTCCGTCGTCCGTGCGTTCGTTTGCGATTGCAAAAGGACGAATCAAACTTGAGCACAACGCCGAAGCAGAAGGCGTATTCCAGAAGCCAAAGCGATACGCAATACGAAATGTACAACGCTAAACGACCATGGTATATCTGAGCTTTTCTGCACAATCATAAACAAACAGTCCCAAGTCCACATACAATAATTTGCAAAGCAAAAACACGCTGTTCCTGACGCTGCCACAGCATGTGCATAGCTGAGCGAAGGAAGCACGGAGGAAATGGCTAAGAGACGTAAGACCAGCCAAGCGCATGTACACGATGACAAACAAGGCGCGAACGAGGAACACAACACAGGGTGTGCCGTGGGATCGATCGCAATATACCACCGCTGCAATTGCAACTGCTTTGTTTCCATGTGTTTCAATCTTACTTCTTCTTCTTGACAGAATCCTTGCGAGCGGTGGTACCAGCAGCCCATCTGAAGAACGGTGATGGGGCGGGCTTCTTGCGGGAAGAACTCCCAGAGCTGCCACTACCGCTAGGCATGACAACAACTGCAGGTGGGGGTGGTAGCGGACCGCCAGCAGAATGCCCAGGAGGTGGCGGTGGTGGTGGTGGAGGAGCCATTGCTCCCGCAGGCAAGCCGACTGGAGGAGGTGGGAGTTGCACAATGTGTGCATGTGACAGAGATTCTCGCTTCCGGCTCTTGTCCCTCTTGCCCTTTCCCTTAAGTGGAAGATGGCTTGACATGAACATTTGAGCATCCGGTGGAGGGGGCGGTGGCGGAGGAAATGCCTCCTTAGGCGGCTCGGGCGGAGGTGGTGGAGGCTCAGGCATTGGCCACATGTGCATGGTGATGGCCCAGTCGGGTTGAATCATGGTTTCCCAAACCTGGGGCAGGATGATCTCGCCATCAGGTCCGACGAGGTCGTAGTGGCCTTCATGCACATGAGGACCAATCACATCGACATGCAGGAAAGCTTGTTTGATCAATTCTTCCATACCCTGATAGAATGTTAGCATTGGACTTGAACTCGTTGTTGGTGGGACATGCCTTCCAAGTCTTGCATAGTTCCCACGGAAAGCTAAACTTGCGGCCAACGGCGTCCTTGAACTTGATCGGGGCCTTTGGAGCATCGGAGGGCTTCAGCTTCGCAGCTTCTTCTTCCGCGGCCTTCTTTCCCTTTTCAAGCTCATCTGCAGCAGCCTTTGCCTCTGCCAAAGCCTTCTCATGGGCCTTCTTGGTCTCTTCGGCTTCCGCGGCCGCCTTCTTCTCGGCCTCCTCGCGTGCCTTTTGCGCTGCTTCGAGCAGTGACTTTGCCTTTTCCGCAGCGGCTTTCTTCTCTTCGGCAATCTTGGTGGCCTCTGCATCTGCGGCTGCCTTTTCGGCTGCACGAGCCGCGTCCGCGGCCGCCTCACGCTTGAGTTGCTCGTCTTTCTGGGCAAGGATAAGGCTCTCGAGCTTGGCGAGCTTATCCTCGTCGCCCCTCTTCTTTGCCTCGGCAGCTTCCTGTGCAGCCTTCTCAGCCGCCTCTTTCTTTGCCTTCTCCTTCTCTATTTTGGCTTCTTGCTGAGAGATGAGCAGGTTCTCAAGGCGATCAAACTTGGCCAGCTCGGCGTCTCTTCTCGCCTTCTCGGCTGCCTTTCTCTCTTCCTCCTCTTTGCCTAGCAAGAGCTTCTCAAGCTTAGAGAGCATGCCCTCTTCTTTTGGGTCGGGTTGCGGAGATTGTTGAGGCGGTGGCGGAGGCATCATGGCCATGGGGTGCATCTGTTGCATGAGCTGCTGGTGCATGGGCTGCTGCATGAGTTGCTGCTGCATCTGTTGTTGCTGCATTGGCTGTTGCATTGGCTGCTGCATTGGCTGGAGCTGCATCTGCATAGCCGGAGTTTGAGGGGGCTGGGGTTGTGGGGGTGGTGGGGGTGGAGCAGGCGCGGCGGGCGGATGGTGTTCTTCTTCGGGCTGGGGCTTCGGGGTAGGGCGCTTCGAGGGAGGGTGCTGCGGCGGAGGGGAGGGATGCTGTGCATGTCCATAAGGCGGATACATGTGAGGCGGCATGCCATACGGTGGGGCGCCGTATGGTGGGTAGTAGCCCATTGGCGAATAAGGCATCATGTCCCCCGGGGGCGCTGGCGGCATGGAGTTGCGATGGCCTCTGCGTGGCGGACGCGAGTCCTGATGGCGCGAGTCCTGGTATTCGGGAAAGTAGCCGGCTCGCGGATCTGCAGCCGAAGGGGGGCCCTGGGTAAAGGGATTCTGTCCATTGGGCGCAAAGGGATTCTGAGCATAGGCGGCGTGTGTGTCGTGGCCAAACGGAACCAGCTGGCCCGCAGGCGACTGGGTGCCGCCGCCGGGGAAGGCATATGGGAAGCGTGGATCCGACATCAAGCTTGGGGCGTAGCCGTTGGGGGCATGCTGGGGAATGTGGCCCCAGCCAGCACTGGGATGGCCGGGAGGGTGGCCAGGGCGGGCCGACGGGGCGTATGGGTAGTCGTCGTCGTCATCCTCGCCGTCGAGAGGGTCCTGGTGGTGGACGGATTGGGGCCTTGGCCGCCGCGGCCTGCGTGCGCGCTCCAGCTTGCTGCGGCTGCGGCTGCGACTGTGGCTCGGGAGGCGCGAGGGAGGGTCTGGTACGGGGGCTGCGTGGCGCGAAGAGGCTCGGTCGCGGTGCGAGGGCTTGGGTCGAGGTGCTCGCGGGGGGGCTACAGCAGGTGGGGGGATCGCGTGGTGCGGCGCAGGCTGACGGTGGACAAGGCGAGGGCGCGAGGCAGAGTCGGAAGGGTTGATCTCGTCGATGTAGTCCCACGAGCCCTCGTCCTCTTCGTTGTCGTCTGTGTCGTCCTCTGGAATGTCGTCGTCGCTCTGCTCCTCCTCGGCGTCTTCGTCGGTCGCGTCCGAGGTGCTGTACTCGTCCTCGCTGGCCGAGACTACCTGGATGCCGGCCGAGTCGTCGTCGGTGAAGTCGTCGTCGTCGTCTTCGAAGGCGCCCGTGTGGTTGTTGACAGTGATTCCCTTCCGGAGTCTGATGGCCACGTTAGTGTCGCCCTTGACATGATAGCGGCGCGACGCAGCCTGGGGCAGGGCGCGACCGTGGGGCAGATGGGCTAGGACTAACGGCATGACCTTGTCCGGGCGGCGGGGTGCGGGCGATGGGATGGATGGGATGGGAGGGGAGGGGATGGGATGCAATGCAACGGCCAAGGTGGAGCAGTCGAGGGGCTGCGAAGTGCGGGCGCGAGGGCCAGAAGCGCTGCACTACAACAGTCTGTACAGCAGTTACAGCAACGACACACGCTGGGTGCGACCGGCAGACGGCGGTCGTGCGGGACAGTCGGTGTCTTGGGGCGGGCAGGAGAGCAGAGAGCGCTGGGCGGCTGAGCGGGTGAAGCGAGTCCAGCACTGCACTTGGGTTGGGCCGCTGCCGTTGTGCTAGCGCGTCCACCTGGCCAACACGGAAAAGGCGATGCTGCCCCAACTCTCCAACTCTGATGCAGATGTCGGGCAAAGCTGTGTGCCGACGCGTGCATGGTCTGGCGACGGGCCGTGGATGTAGCCGTGGGCAGACGCAGCTGGAGTCCGACGACGACGACGGCCATCTGCCTCTTAACCTCACCCAACCCGCCTCGCACTGCTGCGAGTTATCCACGCCTCGTCTAGGCGGCTACGTGTCCAGCTCAGCAGCCTCACTGACCGCCTGGCTGCCCGACTCAAATGCACTCATGCCGACGGCCACGTGTAGCGCCCACTGCTTGCTTCTTCGACACCAACGTCACCGGTGCGGCAGTCGACTTGGCCTAGGCTGTGGGCCTGGAGTGCAACGAGTTCCCGCCCACCATCACGACACCCAACGTCAAGACAGCAAGCTCAGAGCCATTCATCACGCATACCCTAGCCATCTGTGAGACCGAGTCTCGCTGCACCCAGTGTAAGAAGGCGACCATAAGTCGTCACTAAATGCGTCATGAGAATTGGTATCTAATATGCATCCACAAACGCCTCGCAATGCAAGTGACTTCTCGCCTATGCTTCCTAACCCTCCTCCTCGCCCTCAGTTGTGCCGTTTGCCAGGCTTCTTCTCGGTACCTCGAAAACGTGAATGCCGTTCTTGGCCTTTGCAGACATCCATCTGGCTAACCTGGGCTCCTTGCCCACGGCAGCCACCACGCACAGCCCATCCTTGCCTCTGTCTCCTCTCTCCTGAACTGCAAGACCATTCACAATGCCTCGTATGAGAATAGCATCGTCCCTAGAGCTGCCATTGACCATGGACTCGTCTTCCGCAATCGGCACACGTCCTATCTTGCCCGCGGGCTCAATGCTCTTCTTGTCGGCTGTAATCCTCCAGGCGCGTATCCAGCCGTCCCAGCTCGCTGTGAGGATCAAGTCGGCAAAGGGAACGGTAGCAAGCGCAGTCACGTAGCGCGGTAGCCGCGGACCGGGCTTTGTCGATGTTGCGGCGTCGTCGTTGGCTGACATTTGCTCGGGCGAGAGCGGTGGATCGCGGCCATGGGTAAGTGGATATGTAAAAAGGGGCTTCTTCCGGTTGACAGACCACAACGACAAGGCTCCATTGTCCGATGCTGTGACAAACAAGCCGGCGTCGAGAAGGCCGACGCAATCGATGGAGCCTTCGGCATATGCCATGGGCGCATCGTCGTCGAGGCTGGCGCCGACGTCTTGATCCTGTTTGTCGTCTCCGTCAACAGTCTTGCCAAATCGGCCTTTGCGCAGCTTGTCCAAGCCCTTTTGCCTGGCTGTACCGCCTCCGTGGAAGACGAGCTGGTTTTCCTCGACGACCCTCCACAGGCGCGCAGTGCGATCGCGGGCGCCTACACTGACGCATGTCTCTTGGTTCATCTCCAACCCGCCTGCGACACCAATGACGGCGTCCTGGTGTCCGACCAGTGTCTCAATGTACGCAGATTCAGGCGCACTCCAGACAATGACTGCTCGGTCTGC